CTACTTTTAAAATAATACTTATTTTTCAGATCCAGGTTTTACTAGCACTTTACCTTACGGAGGTGATCATGGAGCTGAACTTACTTCTCCTTCTTCTACTTCCTATTATTGTTGGTATTGTTCGAGTACAACTGCAGCTCCTGCAGTTATATCAATATGGGGGGGGAGACTCCCAAGGTAAATACTACATATTCATATTAATCATAGATATCGACAACAGACTTCTGGAGTCTTAGAGCTCTGTTACCTTGACACGTACGCTGCAACCCCTTTTGATCGCGCGTGGCGGCTGGCTGGCCTGAGTGCACGCTTCGCGTGCACGAAAGAGGTATACAACGTGTAGCAACTGTTACCACCGCACCTGGTGCAACTCCATCGGTTAAGGACGGAGAGACAGGGATTTCCAGGAGCGGTCGTGGCCTACTGATATTTGCTTATTTGCAACTCATATGACTATGAGTATATAATATTCATTGAGAGTGATTGTAGAAGGTTTTGCGGTTTAAATATTTGACTGTTACTCTTTTGCAGATAAGACACATACTTCTTCGACGATCGTTGGCATTGTAATACTAATAGCGGCTATATTATTAGTCGCCGTGGTTTTGTGTATTTGTAAAAAAGTATCAAGACGGCATGTGATGGAACAACACACAGTACGTCCCACCAACCTACCAATTGTTGTTCCAGTGCAACTGCAGCCAGCTATAATATGCGAGAGGAGCCGCTGTCTTCAGATCCAACTCTGCCTAATGTTGCTGTGGATAATGATCAATACGTTCCAAGTTATGAAGAATTAATGGGTTATCCGGTGGGCCCACCAATTGTTATTCCAGTACAACTGCAGCCAGCTATAAATGTGCGAGAGGAGCCGCTGTCTTCAGATCCAACTTTGTCTGATGTTGCTGTGGATAATGATCAATACGTTCCAAGTTATGAGAAGTAATGGGTTATCCAGCCGGCTCTCGTTAAATCGCTCGCCCGAATCATGCCTACAGTACAAACTTTTGCATTTTCTTAAATCAAAATACGCGTTAGTTATTTCTGATATTTCTAGCGCCGACCAAATAGATTGGATGTGAGCAATTAGGGCTAATATTCCATAGTCAAAAAATTTCGCACCCGCAGAGAACACAACATTGGAGGCTTCTAGAGTTCTAGTGGACCAGATTGCCATTTTGGATTATGAAAAGGTCGATTTGTCTACTTGATAAGTCTGAATATCGAAATTTTATTGATCAGTATCATGGTTCGTTATAATTTTAATGTTTTAGCAGCAGTAGTCAGTACTTCTTTATAATTATTGTTTATTGAAGAACAGAGTATTACATTTTTCTATATTATTATGTTGATAGCATGTAACAATTACTTAAAGTAAGTCGTGTGTTCATTTAATTTCTTGCCGGTAATTAACTCCCTCGTAGGAATATTATAAAACTCGACAATATCATATTCTATTGTACTTTTTGTCTTTTGAGGTTGCCGAGATAATAACTTGCTATAATGCTTATTTATTCACTATGCATTGCTATTTTTGTGATTACAATATTATCATCTATAACAGTGTAACCACTAACCAGTTCATGTTATTGACCACAATTAACAGATCAGATTTAGCACACATCATGAGTTTTATATTACGTAAAACAGTCAATCAAGTTATGTAATTCTCGTTTAGTTCTCTTTATTATAATTATATCGGATTCAAATAAAAATAACGTACTTTGTAAGAAAGAAACAAATTAATCAAATAATAAGTCAAGCAATAAAATAAAATAAAAGTCGAACTAAAATGGCCAAAGTTTTATCAAATTCGCCGGAAGGAAACCAAATTATGTGCCATTCTCGAATTAAAACCCACAATTTGGTTTCCTTTCTGTGAATTTAATTTAATTTTTCCCTCGCACGCTTTGAAAGTTAAGCGAAGCCGCAAAGTCCGTTCGTTTCTCCCCCCGAGAATTCATTGACAACTTATCCCGTTTTGATGATCGAACACAGAACAGCTACAGTTATATCCACATTTGTCAACTCCGAAAGCCTGGATTGTAATTGTAAATGTATCAATATGCTATGGAAAAACTATAATTTTATAAAATAGCAATATAAATTAAAATAAGCTTTTAGTTTTACAGCTTAGGTATTGTTTTGTGAAACTTGATTTCGAGATAACGGTGCGCGCAGGGCAGCCACGCCCATATTTGGTCCAAATTAGGCCCGATTTAGCCAAATACCCTGAACATACCCAAACCCCAGGTTTATGGTGCTCTACGTGTAGCTAATGGTCTCTTAATTGAACTCGTATATATGAAATTTCATCAAGATTGGACAAAAATGACTGAGTTATGAGCCAAAAACCATATGCCCATATTTGGGCATACGCACCAAATTTGGTAGAATTCGTCCCATAAATTGGTCAAATATCAATATTTTTGAATGAGACTTACTTTATATGAAAGGTAAGCCTAAACTGCATATTCTCTGTAAGTTTTAGCTTAATATCTGTTCAAATGTGAATACTAAGGCAAAAATACCACAAAAAAGAACAAAAAAATTGGCGGCCGGGCATTGGACCAAATATAGGCGTGGCTGCCCCGCAGGCAATGTTTGGCGGTTGGGGTCCGGGACCCCCTCTAAAGTTCGGTCACTGGTCCTAGTTTATCGGTCAATTGCTATAAAAAATTCAGGATTTCGATTATTATGACCAAGAAGATGTGGAGGGCTGTGTTGCTAGATGGTGCATTAATTTGAGAAAAGGACTGAATATGGACGACCGGGACATACATTTCTCTATCCATGAAAATATAATGGTTAATATGGTAATAAAATAAACAGACTCAGCGGTAGACTTCGTCTGACAGCAGACTAGGACGCATGAAATGAGCATCATGATGGAGACAATTGAGAGCTTCAAGACGGAAGCGCTAATAGACAAGGCAAAAGGACTGCTGCTGGTTTTGCATAAGATTACGGTTGAGGGGACAGTGCAAACTGAAACAGCGGTTATAGAGTCAAGAATTCACAGCTTCAGTGCAGGTGTACAAAAAAACAATGCAAGTAATATGATCCATAGTTGGTTCGTGCGCACTAAATGCAATTTTAAAACCGAACACACTTAATTACTCACGAACACTGATCCTTTGTGGATGGCCGCTCAATTTCCCGATCCGCGATGGCGTTTTTTATTATATTCCATACAACAGCTTGGGACCCCAGTCTTTACTGTTTATAAACGCAGCATCACAGCATGCAGATATGGCGGAGTGACAGGCCGAGCGCCGCCCAGTTAATATATAATTCCATATTGAATTTGAAAATCGTGTATATTTCTATCATCTATGTAACCATATGTTTATTGTTTATGCTACCTGACACGGATCTGTGCAAAATAGTAATACTAACTCAAAATTATAGTAGAGATGCTATCAATTAGTGCCTACCTTACAAGACATATTTATAACGTACGAAATGTGGCGGTTTTCCGAAGATTTCGCCATATTTTCGGACCGCCAAAATTTCGGTCGTCGTAATAGAATCCGTCGCATTATCTTTTAGCTTATTTCAATGACTGTGCCTTCACTGCTTTATTTTGTTTCTAAAAAGTAATATCAAGTAAAATAAATAAATAAATTCTGGCATCTTGGGACAAATATCACCACACCAATGACGAATTGAATGTCAAGCAATACAGTTTAAATTTGCATTAAAATACATGTATGTGCTAACATGAAAGTCTTACAGTCTTAATACAGACTAAGTTTGAACATGATTTTACCGAATTTCAGAAATTTCCTTACTGCTTATTGTCACAAAAAATGATGAAAAATACCCTTATTTTCGGTGACGTCCGAAATTTGACGGTTTTTGTTCAATTTCGCCATATTTTCAGACCGCCAAAATTTCGGTCGTCGCAAATTAGGCCGCCATAAATATGTCTTGTAAGGTAGTGGGATACGTACAATACATCAACATGGTGAAATTAACAATGTACTTGGTCAGTTCCTGTTCAGCACCGCGCGCCGAAAATTGTTTAATTCAGATGATCGCGCAAAATAACTTTGCGCAGGTATACTTTGAACGTGGCGATAACAATGGATCGTGTTGAGCTGATCACTTCTCTTTGACTGTTTCTTTTTTACGCACTGTCTGGCGAGCTCCTGCGTTTGCGTTTGATCTCTCGTTACCTGCTCGTCTTTCTGCTATAATGCATGCCACCAAAGGAAAGGAGTGGAATGCTGTTATTATTGTTCAGAAAGGGAAAGGGAATCAACAGGACAAAGCAAGATGTCTCTATACTGCAACTACGAATTTATTGCAACTGCCGACAATGTGACTATGTGATAACTGACATTAATTAACAGTCATAAAAGATTTTTAATTGTTTCCGAAAAAACCGCACTTAAAGTTAAACGCACGAACAAATCTTCACGAACTAATTGCACTCTTCCTGGAAAAGTAACGCATGAACCAACTATGGTATGATCTGCAATAGTAAAACGTAACAAACGACTGCAGAGGAGGACAGTAGCAGAAACCTGATTGTGTTTGGGTTAAAAGAAGAAGAGGAAGAACAGCTTCCAGCTCTGGAAACCGCAGTTTTGGAAGAGATCGGGATGAAACTTTATTTCGAAGCGACAAGAATCCGCTGGAAGAGGCCAGGTACGGCTATCCAACCAGTCAAGATCACCGTCCCAGCTGAACAGCAGTTCGTCAGATTGTGATGAAAAAAGGGGGACTGAGGCTAGTTGAAATTCACAAAGATGTACGGATATGATCCTGATAAATCAAACGAAGAGTGTGCAGCAAGGATTCAAGGAAGCATCGGGTTACTGACCTGAAGAAGAGGAGGGCTGAATTTTATGTTGATATTTGTTCTAATTTATAGTCATTTGTGCTTTCATGATATTTTAAATGATTTCTCGTTGTTTTGATATTTGTTTTTGTTCAGTAATTTGTTGTAAAATGTTTTATTATTTATTCGTAAGAGTCCTCAATTTCCTCGCGTCCTAAGCTATAAGATGGCGGTTGTCTTGTTGCATATGTAAGTATCTTAGGACGTTTTCTGACGTTATCTGTATTTTAAAGACACTCATATCTACATTCAATACATTTCGATTGTTTTCACACTTGTCACAATTCGTTTACTCCAGTAGCAGGGAGGAGTTGAGTGTGCACTTCGATGTATAGAGTTTTTTGCTGCTTAATCGGGTTAAATAGGTCATTGGTAACTCAAAAAATCGAGGGCCGCATGTTGTGTCGCTAGTCCCAACCCTGTGGAGCCACGCCCATATTTCATATCAGGTGCGTATATGGGAAATATGTATCTCAGCTTCTGAAGGTCTTAGAGACTCAAACTTGAGTTTAAAATGACCGCAATGCACATGTTTATATTGGTACTATGAAGGTCATGAAAGCCCAAAATGCTCATTTTTGGAGAAAATTCAGAAAAACCAATTTTCACTTGGGCGCGAGTAAAAAAATCTACACTAGAAATTGAGTGAAAATCGAGTAAGCAGTTCAGTGTCTACAACATTTCTAAACACAGGGTCCTCTGTTAGGTCATTCTAAATCAGAATTGATAAAGTAATCAAATTCTATTAGTAGTTTTAACCCTGTGGAGCCACGCCCATATTTCATGTTATGTGCGAATATGGGAAATTTGTATCTCAGCTTCTGAAGGTCTTAGAGACTCAAAGGTGGGCTTAAAATGACCGCAATGTACATGTTTATATTGGCACTATGAGGGTCATGAAGGCCCAGAATGCTTATTTTTTGGAAAAATTCAGTAAAACCGATTTTCACTTGGGCGTGAGTAAAAATCGACTCTTAGAAGTTAAGTGAAATCGAGTATGAAGTTCAGTGTCTGCAACGTTTCTAAACACAGGGTCCTCTGTTAGGTCATTCTAAATCAGAATTGATAAAGTAATCAAATTCTATTACTAGTTTCAACCCTAGGGTGCAAAACTCCTAAATTACCCCCAGGCGCAAATATATAATGACTTTTCTATCTCGGCTTCTGAACGTTGTAGGGGCCTCTCTTTGAACTCAAACTAACTACGATGGCCACATTTATATACCAACTGTAAAGCAACATAGGGTCTATACTTTATAGTGCTTAGTTTTTAAAAACTCATTAAAAACTGTTTTAACCTTCATGCATCATAAAGTCGTAACATCAAACATGTACTTAATTATGGTATCTCGGGCTAAAAAAGTCTTATAGACATTTGCAGCACAGTAAAACGTTCAACATGAACACATTCGGATAACATTTATGGAGCAGCACATACCACCTAACTCTAATTTTGGTATAACTGCGAAAATAATCAGTTTCAGAAGCTCCTTCCAGCTATCTTAGGCTGCCTTCAGCTCCCTCTCTGGGGTTCTCTCCAGTACTGCTTGGCTATTATGGCTAATCAACTTGAATCGAACCTCATGTAGCAGAATCTACTTCTAGCTACCTTCTGCTAACTCCATGTCAACTCTACCCAGCTACCACCACCAGTACGTTATAATTTTAGATCTTTCTAGCAACCTCTGATATGAGTGCTACCTCTTCCTCTATCCAGCTACTATACCACCAGATGGCAGAAACCACCAATTCCAGCTGTTTTCACCTACTTCGGCTACCTCTATTTAGCTACCACCAAGGTTCCTCCAACTTCTGCTATTTCTAGCAACCTTAGCTTAAGCTAGTGGGCTACTTCTTGCCCTGTCTAGCAACCATCAGTACATTTTATTCTGGCGTTTAGAGGTTGCTAGAAACAGCAAATTTCCTCTTCCTTAATGAGCTGGAAATTGTTGGATGCAGCAGAGAAAGCACTCATATCAGAGGTTGCTAGAAAGATCGAAAATTATAACGTACTGGTGGTGGTAGCTGGGTAGAGTTGACATGGAGTTAGCAGAAGGTAGCTAGAAGTAGATTCTGCTACATGAGGTTGGATTCAAGTTGATTAGTCATAATAGCCAAGCAGTACTGGAGAGAGCCCCAGAGAGGGAGCTGAAGGCAGCCTAAGATAGCTGGAAGGAGCTTCTGAAACTGATTATTTTCGCAGTTATACCAAAATTAGAGTTAGGTGGTATGTGCTGCTCCATAAATGTTATCCGAATGTGTTCATGTTGAACGTTTTACTGTGCTGCAAATGTCTATAAGACTTTTTTAGCCCGAGATACCATAATTAATTACATGTTTGATGTTACTACTTTATGATGCATGAAGGTTAAAACAGTTTTTAATGAGTTTTTAAAAACTAAGCACTATAGAGTATAGACCCTACGGTTCTTTACAGTTGGTATATAAATGTGGCCATCGTAGTTAGTTTGAGCTCAAAAAGAGGCCCCTACAACGTTCAGAACTTCAGAAGCCGAGTTGAAACTACTAATAGAATTTGCGTACCTTATCAATTCTGATTCAGAATTATCTTACAAAGGATCCTGTGTTTAGAAACGTTGCAGACACTGAACTTCATACTCGATTTCACTTAACTTCTAAGAGTCGATTTTTACTCACGCCCAAGTGAAAATCGGTTTTACTGAATTTTTTCAAAAAATAAGCATTCTGGGCCTTCATGACCCTCATAGTGCCAATATAAACATGTACATTGCTGTCATTTTAAGCCCACCTTTGAGTCTCTAAGACCTTCAGAAGCTGAGATACAAATTTCCCATATTCGCACATAACATGAAATATGGGCGTGGCTCCACAGGGTTAAAACTACTAATAGAATTTGATTACTTTATCAATTCTGATTTAGAATGACCTAACAGAGGACCCTGTGTTTAGAAATGTTGTAGACACTGAACTGCTTACTCGATTTTCACTCAATTTCTAGTGTAGATTTTTTTACTCGCGCCCAAGTGAAAATTGGTTTTTCTGAATTTTTTCCAAAAATAAGCATTTTGGGCTTTCATGACCTTCATAGTACCAATATAAACATGTGCATTGCGGTCATTTTAAACTCAAGTTTGAGTCTCTAAGACCTTCAGAAGCTGAGATACATATTTCCCATATACGCACCTGATATGAAATATGGGCGTGGCTCCACAGGGTTGGGACTAGCGACACAACATGCGGCCCTCGATTTTTTGAGTTACCAATGACCTATTTAACCCGATTCAGCAGCAAAAAACTCTATACATCGAAGTGCACACTCAACTCCTCCCTGCTACTGGAGTAGTTATTTTATTCCTAGGTGGAAATGATGTTATTGTGACTTTGTGCGGCCATCATAAAACTTTTGTTTTGAAAGTTGTCTTTTGTGCTTGCATTACTGACCCACGCTTTTTAAAATATAATTATACTTATATAAATTTTGACTGAATTTATAAATATATGATTATGCTTGTTCAAATTAATACTGTCAATTTTTTATTTGATGGGTTGCATGGTTATTCCGTTATGGGGTTGATGGGGATGGGAGCATGGTGGTAATGAATCAAGAAAAATACAAAATTGTTGAACGAGGTGATAACAACACATTTTTATAATTTTATTTTGACCCTTGTTTTATAATCAATCCGTTATCTAGCTTCGTGTAAATGGAACGGCGAACAATATTACATAACAAGATGATAGGATTGACGATACTTCTTCTCTGCCCAGATACTTTTGAAGGTGAGTCAGAGTGAATCAATAAATTTTTGCAGGTTAATGATGACATGATGAATAACTATAAGATATTCCACATAGATTGCACAAGATTAACAAAATAGTAGATGACATAGTCTTTTCATATCATATGCCACATTCAATGACTTAGATTAAACTTAGCAAGACATAATAAATATTCAACCTTCTGAAACGTGATATCTACCTTATCGGACCTTATTTGGACGGACATTACTTGAACGCTGGAGGCCCTAGCGTTCATCTTAATGTCCGTTCAAATAAAGTCCGTTCAATTAATGTCCGTCCAAGTTAAAGTCCGTTGAAATTTTTTCAAAAATTTTTTCATTTCGAACTTTTTGTCCAGAATATGACAACTTTGAGAACTTTATTGTGCCGTAAGTTAACGATGGAAAGGTTCTCTTTGGTCTGCCGGAGGCACAGAAAACTCTGCTAGTATATGATATTTTCAAGGGTCTCTTGGCGGAAAAAAGTCAACGAAATTATGGCACTCAACAACATAGTTCATGAACTAGTCCCCGCCAACATGACAAACTTGTTCCAGCCTCTAGATATTAGTATTACGGTAAATCATGTTTCCAAGGACATTGCCCGACGTTGTTATAGTTCATATTACTCGGGGGCGTTAATGAAACAGTGCTAGGAAAGCTCCACGTGATGTTAAGGTTAACCTTAAGTTGTCTAAGATAAAACCACTTCACGCCGAATGGCTTGTAAAAGTTAACACTGAAATGCAGGACCGGGGTAGTTTGATAAAAAAGGTTTCCATAAACTTAAAGCTGGAAATCACTGATGCTTTAAACATGGACTATTTCATGCACGAAAACTCATTTGATGAAGATGATATGTGATATTAGACACTGATCAAGTACACATATTTTAACATTTTTACTGCTCAATGACTGCTTTTCTTACTTACTGTATAAAAAATGGATTTAAAAATCATTTGCTGAAATTTAAAAAACGTCAACAAAATTGAAAAATTCGGATTTTTGATGGTTTTGAATGCCTTCGAGCGTTCATATTAATGTCCGTTCATAATTATGTCCGTTCATGTAATGTCCGTCCAAATAAGGTCCGATAAGGTAGTTCTTCTATATCTATCAACATTTTACAGCGAGGCTTGACCCGAGCTGCTTTAAAGCCGACTTAAGGGCATTTGGACCTGTCTTAAAAGAAGTTGAATACTCTTCAGATAAAGCATGTATGAATATCTGTATCGCTACATCGAGGTAAGTTTTGATAATTTTAAGTACTTTATAACATCAAAGTATATGATTTGTTACTCTTTGACTTCTTTTTCATCATTAGTGGCATAGTGCCACTTATAACCAAGCCTTGCCTTTTTGTTGCAGGTTGACAATGGTGACTTGACCATTTTTGAGCCATATTACACACGTGCAACGAGCGTTACATGTAGAAGACTCACATGCAGTAGTACCACAGGAGTGCTTATAAAACTGATTATAAAACTGCTATAAAAACCTAACAATCAGTATTAATTTCTCCAGCTGTATGGCGGCGGTTATTAGTCCAAAGCATTTGGATGTGGCAATTTGTTATGTTATTGGTGAGTACACTCTGTCCGATGATAATGCCTATGCTTGGTACACTGCAGAAAGACGATGCTTGGAAACCAATACAGCTACTAATACAGCTACTACCCCTGATCATAGTAATGAAATATTTAATAATAAATAAACTTGCTCTGCTCTAACATATATGATATAAGAAAACAATATAGGGATAATAAATTTCTGCCGATTACAATTTCGCAGAAATTTAACTTTGGAAAGTTCCAAAAATCTATGACGCTGCACTGTTTATTTCAACCAATTAGTGGACAGGAATTATTTATATGTATCACGCGTGCAATGAGTCAGTACTTTGACGCGCGGGAATTTAAACTCGCTGTGAAGAAATTACCACTTTAACTAATAAAACTCTCAGTTCGTAGGTGGTAGGGTTTCTAGGATATATGGTACAAAATATCAAAATTACTTTTGTTACCATGCGCCGTGCAGACGTATATTCTTAATTCCATAATTAAAGTTTTCTGGATTTATTACTTTTATAACTTAACTACTTTTAAAATCATATTTATTTTTCAGATCCAGGTTTTACTTTACGCAACAAAAATGGACTTGAACGGCGGCTTCCACAGCGCGTTCCTAAGAGTAAGCCTCCACCTCCTGCTGCTGTAAAGCGATATCAAGGTATATACCATCTTACCATATTCATATTAATAATTTTACCAAAAACCCATTAATACTATTGGGTAGAGTGGACTGTTGCCAGTGTCTCCCTTCCCAAACAAAACGAAATGATATCAAATTGAATAATTATACCGTCCTCAAATGCAAAACGATATCGATTATGAAATTGTAAAACATTAAAATTATAACGAACCAACTCAAATGTATTAATGCCCCTGGATATGGCAATTTTGGCATTTGGGGTTTTGCCAAATTATATAGCTATTCTTTATTATATTTATTGTCATCTTTAAGATTGAATTAGAGTATTTTGAACTAAAACTACACCATAAACCTGCTGAATGACATCTGATGAGTCTAAGTGAACGAAAAAATAGTCATGTACGTACGTGGGTATAATAGTAAAAGGGGTATATTGGCTGACGGTCGTCCGTCGTGCTTGCCAGTACTGTGATACCTTTCAATGAATAATTATCAACTATTCCCACAGATATCGGAACTGCATGCGAAGAAGGATAGTGGAAGTGCTCGGACGGTGAGAAGTGTATTGATGAGCGCTTTGTATGTTCTGGAGTTACAAAATGTTACGATGGGTCAGATCAAACAGACTGCTCAGGTTGAGTATCTACAATCATATTTGTGAATTTGACCAAAACCCATAATCATGGGTAGAGTGGACCGCTGCCAGTGTCTCTCTTTCCCAAACAAAAGGAAATGATATTAATTTGATTGACCGTTTTCAAATGCAAAATGATACCGAGAATGAAATCGGTCGCTCGCTTTTCCCATTCATTCACGGCTTATAGTTATACGAATTGTAATAGGTTTCGATAAATTACATCGATCACTGTATGCTGTAATAATCTCTTTGGGTTGCGTTCGGGTCGATACCTAGTATTTCGGGATAAGGGTGGTAGTTAGTGAATTAGCTGAAGTTTATTGAATCTTTATTGCCAAGTACAGCTGTCTTCGGGTATGGTAGTTCTTCTTAATCTATTACATTTGTAATTGTAAATGAATGGGAAAAGCGAGCGACCGATTTCATTCTCGGTATCATTTTGCATTTGAAAACGGTCAATCAAATTAATATCATTTCCTTTTGTTTGGGAAAGAGAGACACTGGCAGCGGTCCACTCTACCCATGATTATGGGTTTTCGTCAAATATCATCTCTTTTTTATTAATGTCAGGGTACTTTATAAAGTCGAAATATAAACTGATATCTTCATTAATAAGGAGGAAGTTTCAACGATTTCGAAATTTTTCCTTTGAAAACATTTCCTTGTGTTTGGGTAAGCATATCGGTCGATCACTGACTGAATTTGCCACTTTATACTCATTCAAGTTGGCATTAAATTTATATATAATGACATTGAACTGTCGTGGTAAAGCAGAATTTGTTCGAAATCACGAATGAGCAAAATTATCACCTTTCGCACGTGCAAACTATGAGCGGACGTTGCGTGCGCATCCAATATTGAATCGCCGTAAGTTTTTGCGTGTTGGTGTTTTATATATAGTTTGATAAGCATGCAAAGTTTCAAAGTATTTCAAGAAGAACTGTAATCACCACGGCACACCAAAGTTTACAGAAAATGGTAAAAACAGCAATTTTTAGTGATTTTAGTAATTTTTAATCAATTTGGGCGTGTCCCCACGTGTGCATCTTTTCGATTTTTAACTTCAAACCTAGCCTAATGCACAATTTATACCTGTAAAAAGCAGAACTGAGCTCCAAAACCCAAGGGATAGCCCAACACCAGAGAATACTAAATCGCAAAATTGAAGTTTTTATAAAATAATTCTTCAAAAAAGCACTAACTTCAATGGCAAATATCTTTATGAAGGAGCAAGGTAGGGAAACTTTCCGGTAGATTTTCAGAATGCTTAAACAATTATCTAACTTTAATGTGCCCTCAAATTTTGAATAAAATTACTCTTTAATGGCGTAAAATCGATTTTAAAAGTGATTACTTTGTAAAAAAACAGGTTTTTTAAATGGTTAACTTGATGACGTCATCAAGTGGTAATGATGACGTTAAATTACTTTTTAATATATTATTATTATTATTATAAAACAGGATCTTACCGACAAAAATGATTCTTAAAAATACCTTAATGCGGTAAACTGTACCCTTGAAAAAGATTTTCCCAACATCTGTTGCATGCAGCTATATCTTTAATTTCGTTCAATTCATACAAGTTGTCCATTTGCAAACTTCTACTATTTAAATCACTTCTTAAAACCGATAACAAGTTCATTCTAGGTCTCCCCAATCTTCCAATGAATAAATTATCTGATTCAATAGCAAATGAGAGAGCCGTTTGGGCTGGGGTGTTCTCCATACTCCTGAGAATGTGTCCAAACATTTTCCACCGCTGGTGTTCAATACGCTTGGATAACTTTTCAACTTTGCACCTTTCATACAATGCTTTGTTGCTTATCATACCTTTAGGCCATTTGATGTTTAAAATGGACCTGAGGTGTCTACGATGGAGTGTGTCCATTTTCTCCATGGTTGCTTTCTTAGGACTCCAACTATTTGAGTTGTAAATCAATACAGATACAACTTGAGCATCGTATAACCTCAGCTTTCTTTCAAGGGATATTTTCTTACCAGACAGCCAAACTTTTTCAAAGTTCTTAAAAGCAATCTCAGCTAGGATTCTTCTTCTTTGAATGTCCTTCTCAGTACACAGTAAGGAACCTAGTGACTTGTTACTTCTCCATGGTTCGTTATTAGCTAATGGCTGACCGTTTGTATCTTTATCAGATTTTGTCGCTAGGTAGAAGGTACTGAATTCAGTTTTACTTTCATTTACTTGGAGGTTCCAGTCTTTGAGAATCTCCTTCACTGTAGGAAGGAAAATTCTCAGTTTCTCGATGTCCTCGTCAGCAAAGTCACAATCGTCTGAATATTCCCACTCAGTTGGAAAACCTAGTTCTGATACTGGTGGGTTTGGTCTCCCAGATACAGCTCTGAGGTGGTGTAAGGCTGCTGCAAGAATAAGTGTGAATAGCTTTCCAGATAAACTGTCACCTTGAAAGGCTCCGAGTAAACTTTCAAACTCTTCCGACAGTGAGGAGTTAACACGAACTCTAAGGAGAGTATTCGATAGAAGGTATTGAACTAAACGAATGTCGTCCTCCGAACAACCAGCATCTTTCAAAACATTGATGATAGTGTCCCTTTTCACGGTATCAAAAGCTCTACTCATATCAATACCCATTTTGCTAAATGTCCATTTCTTCCTCATTACAACAGATATGAGCATTCTCTGAGCCCACACAATGTCAGAGCAGCTCCTACCTCTCTTGTAAGCACTCTGCCATGGCATGGTGTAGTTGTCAATTCTACTCTCAACCCGTTTTAAGGCAATTTGAGTGAGCATCTTCCTCGATCCGTTTAACAGTGTAAGTGGTCTAAGGCTTGTGAGGGGACCCTTAGGTTTACCGGGCTTCTGTAGAGGAGTCACAATACCTTGTCCTTTCGAACTTATGTATTTGTTCCCACTAAATGACTCGTTAATTGCCTCAGCATACTTCTCAAAAGTGATTGGATGGGCGTACTTTATCAGCTCATTCTGGAGATTATCTGGACCACTGGCACGGTTTGATTTGAGTTTACTTGCAGCAAGTTTAACTTCAACTGGTGTGATGGGGTTATCAAGTGGTTTTGGATCGCAGGTAAAAGGTTGCAGGCCAGCTTCAACTCCTTCTGTTAGTTGTTTTTCGAAGAAAGATTTCGCTGTGTTTGCTTTCCCTAAATCAGTACCAATAGGGTTGTTGTTGATATCATTGACCACTATGTTACCCGACTTTCTTATTCCAGCTAAAGATCTTGAAGCTTCAAACATCTTTCTAGCATCGTCAGTGTTATTTATTTCTTCCGCTAGAGCGTCAGCCTTCATGTTATTTATTTGCACAAGTCTCTTAGAAATGCTATTCTGAATCTTTCTAACTTCTCTCCTATCTCCACTAACATCACTACCATTTGGGGCTGATTTGATCTTCAGAGTCTGATCACGCTTTTTAGCAACTAATGAAGCTACTGTTAGATCACTGGAGAAATTTTGTTTAGAGGATTTCCCTTTCAGTGGTATAGTTTCTTCAGCACACGCACGTATGTCACTAAAAAGTTCATTCATTTTCTCATTTGGGTCATCTGGATAAGTTTTACCCGATAATCTTTCAGCAATCGCACTTTGATATTTCTGTCTGAGTTCTTTATCACTGTAGAGAGTTGAACAGTCAAACTGAGTGCTATCTGATTTTTTGGTTTTGTGAATGAGAACATGATTTTTCAGCGTTAATCGAGTTACAACAGGTTTGTGATCAGATCGTAACTCAGCGCCTCCGTATGATCTGCTGTCCTTTATTAAAACCGTAGACCTCCTCCTGCAAAGCACATAGTCAAGTTGAGCGTATATAGGAGTATTTCTCTTAGTCCTGTGTTCACCAGTCCAAGTTAGTTTGTGCCTACTTGGATGATCAAACAAAGTATTGCATGCTGTTAGGTCTTCTTTAACCATAAATTCAAGCAAATGCTCCCCATTTTCATTTCTAGTCCCAATACCATGTCTACCTATCAAACCTTCCAGACCTAATTGTTCATCAACCCTAGTTCGTTTACCCAGCTTTGAGTTGAAATCTCCGCAGTGGAACATTTCCCATTTTGATGGAGTAGAGGATACATTGTGTAAATCTCTATAGAACTGAGACAGTTTGTCAGGGTGTTGTTGAGCACGAAGAGATGTGAGACCATAACTGTTGATGATTCTGAAATTCTTATTACTACCACCCTTGAGAGTAAAACAAAAATCAATATACCCAACTCTATCAGAGATCTGTTTGAAAGTTGTGATGAAAGGTTGCAGTTTAGGGCTAATAACAAATCCAATACCCCCATGACATTGTTCTTTCTGATCAAAAATTAACAGTCTGTAGTTGTTGTGAAGTATGATATCAACCTGATTAGTGCACTTAGTTTCTTGTAGTCCCACAATGTCCATACCGTACCTTTTGCAGTCATTACCCAGTAACTCCCTCTTCAAAAGTCGTTCAGACCGAGTTTTATCATTAACCGCAGTGTCTGGACTACCCAAGCCCCTAACATTCCAAGAACAAACAGCGAAAACAAATAGCACAGCACACAGTGTTGATCCCATCTTGATTTTGGGCTTTTTAATATAATGTAAACTAAATTCTAAACAATTATCTTCAAGACCTGTGGTCCGAGATGGCTGTATCTTTAAAGCTTCTGAATCTACTGACACCTGAATATAGCCTATAATTTACTGGCAAAGCGTCTATCCCTGAATATATATGTATATCTGTATATCTGTATATGTCCCGACAATCTGTCGTAAAACAGGGGTTCTAGAAAACCCATTTCCCGATGCTCCTGAAACTTGAAACATTTTTTGCAGTCGATTTGGTCAACGTCTAGACGCCCTGCAAATTTTCAGATCTCTAACACAATTTTAACACGGTTTTTAAGGCACCTGAATATGGCGATTTTGGGTTTTTTACCGAATTTCGTACAACATGCTGGCGCGTATTTTGCGCAAATTTCTTAAAAACCTTCACATAACTATTTCTTATTCCTGTCATATTTAACATTAAATTAGAATGTTTTGAACATAAATATACCTGCTGAACTACTTTCGATGAGTCTTAATGCCTGAAAAACAATAAAGGGGTATTATAATAGTAAAGGGGGTATAAAAGTCAAGGGGGTAAATAGTGAAGGGGGTAAATAGTAAAGGGGTTAAATAGTAAAAGGGGTAAATAGTAAAGGGGGTAAATAGTAAAGGGGGTAAATAGTATTGTTAATATAAGAGGCACGGTCATGCTTGCCAGCATTGTGATTTTCTATCAAGTTTTATTTTTATAATAACTTATTATTGTTACAAAAATTCTATAGTGTTATGTCTTTATTCAACGAATAATTATCAACTACTGACACAGAGAGAGAATGCCAAGGAAATCAAATGGAGAAGTGCGCGGACGGTGAGCAATGTATAGATGCTGGCTGGGTATGTACTGGATTTACACAATGTTACGATGGGTCAGATCAAACAGACTGCTCAGGTTGAGTATCTACAATCATATTTGTGAATTTTCTATCAAGTTGTATTTTTGAATAAAAATAATAATAATAATAATAATTTATTTGTATAATTTGTGATTGTTTCTCCCGGTTTTCTTCTCTTGCGTAGCAAGCCCTGTCTCTTGTAAAAACAACCTCGAAAGATTTGTAGATACACATAGTCTCTACACCTTTACCCTCTGGTCCCTAGGGTCAGCTGATCCCGGGCCAGAGGAAAACTACCGACTGCCAAGGTTTGACGCCTAGGCAGTCGAGACCTCTTATTGAGACCCTTTATAATAATAATAACTAAAAATTTATACATCGCTTTATCATTTATAGCCAAAAAGAACTCAAAATCCAAAGATTCAGTTTAAGCCATCTAAAGCGACTCATGAACATGTACATGAGAACTTAGCATTTTATGAAGTATGGTTTGTATGATAAAGATATTATATGATACTTATAATAATAACTTATTATTGTTACAAAAATTCTAATTCTATAGTGTTATGCCTTTATTCAACAAATAATTATCAACTACTCACACAGAAAGAGAATGCCATGAAGATAGTGAGAAGTGCTCGGACGGTGAGCAATGTTTCCACCCTTCCTGGGTATGTACTGGATTTACGCGCTGTAACGATAGGTCAGATCAAACAGACTGCTCAGGTTGAGTATCTACAATCATATTTGTGAATTTTCTATCAAATTGTATTTTTATAATAACTTATTATTGTTACAAAAATTCTATAGTGTTATGCCTTTATTCAACAAATAATTATCAACTACTGACACAGAGAGAGAATGCCAAGGAAATGACATGGAGAAGTGCGCGGACGGTGAGCAATGTTTCCACGCCTCCTTTGTATGTTCTGGAGATACGCAATGTAACGATGGGTCAGCTCAAACAGACTGCTGATCAGGTTGAGTATTTACAATCATATTTGTGAATTTTCTATGAAATTGTATTTTTTTAAGATTGTAGTTGACGAAATGAGAGTCTCCACTCAGTGTGTTAAAACATAATTCTTTGTCGACGTTTCGGCTACATGCCTTTGTCATAAACAGGACGTACTGAAAACTTACATAGCTGCAAAAATACAATGTTAAAATAATCTATTAATACTACGAAATATAACAACAACAAATAACATTTTAAAACACAACAACGATCACAAATTTTTCTAGGTTTATAAGTTCAATATTACATTAACTTCCAAGTATATTTTATCCAATCACCTTCATTTACGGGCTCAGACAATTGAGTATTTATTTCTGGGTTTTCACGTTTTATTAGAACCGACTGCCACAATTGACGGTCCACATAGTCTTTACATCTTTTTCGAACTATAAACCGAAACGGTATGTTTGGCATTGAAATGTCTGCATAATCCTCTAGGTAGTGCTTCCCCATGGCCGTAGATTTGTTGCCATCCCTTACTGATTTGTAGTGTTCCCAGGCTCTACTTCTTTTAAACCTACCAGTTTCCCCAATGTAGGACTTATTACATATTTGGCATATTAATTGGTAGCAAATGTTTTTGATCATGCAGGATTTATCGCACTGATAGCATTTGCTGTCACTTTGTTTATTGCATTTTGTTTGCTGTAGGCTAGATCTTGTTAAAGCTTCCATGAGACGTTGTCCTGATGTGAATGTTACCCTGGTGGAATCCAAGAGGTTTTGATTTCTTAGGGTATAGTAGACTTTTCGACACGTCTGTTCATTTATATAAGGTAATGATAAGTAAGCTATTTTTGAGTTCTTTTTAGGCGCATTTTGTTTTTCCAGTGTATTCTGTGTTTCTCGAATAAGTTTCTTGACAATATTAGGAGGGAAACTATTCTTCTTTAGCATATCTGCTATTCTGTTGATACTGAGATCTTGTAGTTCAGGTGTGGAGCTGTTATTGATAGCCCTTCTGATCTCATTTTTGGCTGAGTTCAGAATCGTTCTACGAGGGTGAGCAGAGGCATAATTTAGGAATATGTCCTGGCTGGTTGGTTTAACAAATAAGGAAAAATCTAACCTCTTGTCCACTGTATTCATAAAGATGTTCAGGTCCAAAAATGCAACACAATCTTTGGAGCACTCATATGTGAACTGTATATCCCTGTTCAACGAGTTAATGTAGTTAAACAGCAATAGTACTGTGTCTTCATCTCCCTTGTGTTGCATTTTTGGACCTGAACATCTTTATGAATACAGTGGACAAGAGGTTAGATTTTTCCTTATAATTTGTTAAACCAACCAGCCAGGACATATTCCTAAATTATGCCTCTGCTCACCCTCGTAGAACGATTCTGAACTCAGCCAAAAATGAGATCAGAAGGGCTATCAATAACAGCTCCACACCTGAACTACAAGATCTCAGTATCAACAGAATAGCAGATATGCTAAAGAAGAATAGTTTCCCTCCTAATATTGTCAAGAAACTTATTCGAGAAACACAGAATACACTGGAAAAACAAAATGCGCCTAAAAAGAACTCAAAAATAGCTTACTTATCATTAGTCATTACCTTATATAAATGAACAGACGTGTCGAAAAGTCTACTATACCCTAAGAAATCAAAACCTCTTGGATTCCACCAGGGTAACATTCACATCAGGACAACGTCTCATGGAAGCTTTAACAAGATCTAGCCTACAGCAAACAAAATGCAATAAACAAAGTGACAGCAAATGCTATCAGTGCGATAAATCCTGCATGATCAAAAACATTTGCTACCAATTAATATGCCAAATATATAATAAGTCCTACATTGGGGAAACTGGTAGGTTTAAAAGAAGTAGAGCCTGGGAACACTACAAATCAGTAAGGGATGGCAACAAATCTACGGCCATGGGGAAGCACTACCTAGAGGAGCATGCAGACATTTCAATGCCAAACATACCGTTTCGGTTTATAGTTCGAAAAAGATGTAAAGACTATGTGGACCGTCAATTGTGGCAGTCGGTTCTAATAAAACGTGAAAACCCAGAAATGTGATCGTTGTTGTGTTTTAAAATGTTATTTGTTGTTGTTATATTTCGTAGTATTAATAGATTATTTTAACATTGTATTTTTGCAGCTATGTAAGTTTTCAGTACGTCCTGTTTATGACAAAGGCATGTAGCCGAAACGTTGACAAAGAATTATGTTTTAACACACTGAGTGGAGACTCTCATTTCGTCAACTACAATTTAAAATAAATGATTGACCCACTCATAAGAGCAAAACAAGATTACCAAATTGTATTTTTATTATAACTTATTATTGTTACAAAAATTCTATAGTGTTATGCCTTTATTCAACGAATAATTATCAACTACTCACACAGAGAGAGAATGCCAAGGAAATGGCATGGAGAAGTGCGCGGACGGTGAGCAATGTTTCCACGCCTCCTTTGTATGTTCTGGAGATACAAAATGTAACGATGGGTCAGATCAAACAAACTGCTCAGGTTGAGTATTTACAATCATATTTGTGAATTTTCTATGAAATTGTATTTTTATAATAACATATTATTGTTACAAAAATTCTATAGTGTTATGCCTTTATTCAACGAATAATTATCAACTACTGACACAGAGAGAGAATGCCAAGGAAATGATACGGAGAAGTGCGCGGACGGTGAGCAATGTATACATGTGGATGGCAGATGTGATGGTGATACGGATTGTTACGATGGATCAGATGAAACAAACTGCTCAGAGCTAGGTTGAGTGTCTACAAACTTATTTGTAAATTTGCTATCAAATCGTATTACAATTTGTATAATAGCTTATAGCTTTATAATTGTCGCGAAAATGTCGATTTTCAACAAATGATGATCAACTACTCCCACAAAGAAAGTTTCCTGAATTTATTACTTTTACAACTCAACTACTTTTATAATAATACTTATTTTTCAAAATGCAGGATCATCTTCTTTCCCTTTTTCTCCTTCTTGGACGACCTCTTTCTTGGACGACCCCCAAGGTAAATACCATATATATTCATATTAATCATAGATATCGGCAACAGACTTCTGGAGTCTTAGAGCTCTGTTACCTTGACACACGCTGCAGGTTGAGTGTCTACAAACTTATTTGTAAATTTTCTATCAAATCATATTTACATTTTTTCCCGATCCATGACTCAAAGTGCAGAAGGCACAAAAGAGTCAAGGAAAATGGTTAGCAAACGAGGTTTTTTGTTGTTGTATATATGGTAGTTTTGCAACCGTCGTGCCTGCGAGCGAGCGCACTGTTATCGCCCACGTTCATACCTGCGCAAAGTTATTTTGCACGATAATTTGAATTAAACAAGTTCTACAAACTTATTTGTAAATTTTCTATCAAATCGTATTTTTATGATAACTTATAATCGTCGCCAAAATTTTATAGTGTTATGATTTTCAATTAATGGTGATCAACTGCTCCCACAGAGAAAGTGTTCTAAATTTATTACTTTTATAACTTAACTACTTTTAAAATAATACTTATTTTTCAGATCCGGGTGTTACTTTACCTTATTTGACGACAACTTCTCCGAGTTATACGACATGGTCAATAACTTATTCTAGTGAGAGTTACTCCCGAGGTATATACTATATACCATATTATTATATCTGTTATAACAGATATAACAGATATAACAGAAATAACAGATATAACAGATATAACAGTTGTCTCTTCTGATATATATATCACCTTAATAACACCAGAATGTGTGTGTGTCTGTGTGTCTGTCTGTCTGTCTGTCTGTCCGTGTGTAATTTCCGGTCGGTTATACAAAAAAAACGGTAAGAGTTACGGGACTGATTTTTTCGGTATAGTGTCGACAAAACTCTGATGAAGCCCATAAGAAATTTTTTTTAAATCGGCCGGTGGTAAGTGGTTCAATTGATGGTTTTGTACCACAAATGTTACATAAAATTGCTTGAGCAGAACGGCAAGAGTTACGGGGCTTGCTCTCTCTCTCTCTCATTACTGTGTAATATGTTATAGCTGCATTTAAGTAGCGTCATAATTGGATTAGCCCGGAAGATTCGCTGTAATGTTATACCTTAAGCTTATTAGGGGAGGGGGGACTGTTAGTGTTTGGGGTCTGTTTGGACTGCAGAGAGAGAGAGAGAGAGAGAGAGAGAGAGTTCATACGACAATGTTATGCGTGTTTTCAAATATAATATGCGGGTGTGGTGCGGAGTTAACAAGGGTTAATTTCTATAACGATTTAAATAAAAATAGAAAGCGGTTCAAGACGGGAGTGATGAGGTGTAATACTCGGTGTTCAGACCTTATGATCATGGAGTGTGGTGCCTCATGGCTAATAATGACTTAATTATCCACAAGAAATAACTGATTATGAGATTATTGTTTAAGAAATTATTGGGTCACCTAATGCGGGTTTTGACTCAGCGGGTAATTACTCCTACTCTTTTTAACTGCGGCAGTGAAATCCCGGCCGTAGGCCGGGTTACACTAGTATATATATATATATATATATCTGTTATATCTATTATATCTTGCTATTTGCAACTGGTATGAGTACATGCAATGTTCCGGGTGGGTGCTAGTTATTTACCTGTGGGAAAGAGAGGTTATGCTGCGGTTCTAAGTTAGTGTCTATTAGATTCTTTTCTTTGTTGTATAGACGGTTAAGTTAAACCCATGCACCTCCCGTTTGAGCCACCCACCCCACACCGCGTGGAGGTTCGGGGTGGCGAAAATGGACTTTATAGTGGTAGTTCTGGATTCCGATTACTCGACTCCTTTACAAAGGAGCCAAGGAGGCACATGAGTTTGCGATGACAAATATGAAGAAAAATGCTGCGGACGCTATTTGTGCATTGCTCGTGTATACAGATAGTAAAACAGCATGGACCTCAGGATACAAATAAGCTAATAACAGATTAAGACTAACTACATTATCAAAATGAAAAATGTAAAATGTGAGGGCAAACCTTGGCCGAACTGCACGCGTACGAAAAGGATAGTTCTATACGCTAATCTAACTGCGCATAATGCGATTTAGTTGCAAGATCAGTGTAATGATATAGCTCAATAATATAGTCTTATAGTGTCAATATAAAGTAGACACACGCTAGGGCTACGGGGGCGGGGTGACAATTATCTCGGATAACCGCCCTCGTACCCGTTATCCGTCAAAATGTTAGGTTCGAGTGATTGCACCGCGAGCAAATCACAAGAAAGAATCATCTTGACAGACACAGATCACGTACCAACGTATTCCCTTTTTAGTGTTCACTGCTCTGAGCTGAGACCCTATGTCTAGCCTTAGTGTGACCAGTCGCTGTTTTTATTTTGTTACGGGCCCGATATGGAAGTTCATTGTTTGTTGCCAAGTTGTGGTAGTGGTACATTTAAAGATTTAACAGTTGCGTGGACAAATCGTCCCAAGAATCAACATGCAAATCAACCTGATATTGATAATGGACGACTGAGCGTTTCACACCAATTAATGAGAGCTATTACATACTAAATACTAATAGTTCTTCTGTAATTTCTAAGATAAAATAACGCTGCGAGGAGTATATTACTCGCAAAAAAAATGTTATAGTGTTATGCCTTTCAATGAATGATGATCAACTACTCCCACAGATGGATCAGTGTACTGCCCAAAAGGATATTGGAAGTGCTCGAACGGTTGGCAATGTATTAAGGATAGCTGGAGATGTGATGTTTATACCCATTGTTACGATGGATCAGATGAAACAAACTGCCCAGAGCCAGGTTGAGTGTCTACAAACTTATTTGTAAAGTTTCTATCAAATCATATTTAAATTTTTATGATAGCTTATAACTTTATAATTGTCGCGAAAATGTTATAGTGTTATGATTTTCAACAAATGATGATCAACTATTCCCACAGCTATAGACGGATCAGAGTGCAGATATGGATATTGGGGGTGCTCGAACGGCGTGCAATGTATTAAGGATAGCTGGCGATGTGATGGTTATACGAGTTGTATCGATGGATCAGATGAAACAAACTGCCCAGTGTCAGGTTGAGTGTCTACAAACTTATTTGTAAAGTTTCTATCAAATCATATCTAAATATTTTGTATGATAGCTAACAACTTTATAATTGTCGCGAAAATTTTATAGTGTTATGACTTTCAACAAATGATGATCAACTACTCCCACAAAGAAAGTTTTCTGAATTTATTACTTTTAGTTTTATAACTCAACTACTTTTAAACAATACTTATTTTTCAAAATGCAGGACCTGCTTCTCAGCGCGTCCCTCTAACTTCTCCAACTCGTGCTGCTGTGGAGAAAGACTCCCAAGGTAAATACCATATTCATATTAGTCACGATAGATATCGGCAACAGACTCCATGAGGAGTCTTGAAGCTCTGTTAGTGTTACCACCGCACCTGGTGCAACTCCATCGGTTAAGGACGGAGAGACAGGGATTTCCAGGAGCGGTCGTGGCCTACTAGTATTTGCTTATTTGCAAATCTGGTAATCTTTTTTTGCTCTTATGAGTGGGTCAATCATTTAATTTGAATTGTAGTTGACGAAGTGAGAGTCTCCACTCAGTGTGTTAAAACATAATTCTTTGTCGACTTTTCGGCTACATGCCTTTGTCATAGACAGGACGTATTGATAACTTACATAGCTGCAAAGTTACAATGTTAAAATAATCTATTAATATTACGAAATATTACAACAACAAATAACATCTTGAATCCCATACAATTAACAAGTGACAACGCGAATCAACCACGTACTCATCACATAAAACCACATACCCAAATACAATCGGAAAAAATCGCGAAACAAACGATCACAAATTTGTTTTTTGTTTTTTTTTGTTTTTTTTCAAAAGAAACATTATATAACGGCTAAAAGAATCCACACCGCATCAAGCCGTGAACAACCTCATAGTACTACAAACATTTTACCAAGATAGCTCGGACTTCATAAAACTGAGTAATCAAAAATTATTTAGGTTAATAAGTTCAATATTACATTAACTTCCAAGTATATTTTGTCCAATCACCTTCATTTACGGACTCAGACAAATGAGTGTTTATTTCTGGGTTTTCACGTTTTATTAGAACCGACTGCCACAATTGACGGTCCACATAATCTTTGCATCTTTTGCGAACTATAAACCGAAACGGTATGTTTGGCAATGAAATGTCTGCATGCTCCTCTAGGTAGTGCTTTCCCATGGCCGTAGATTTGTTGCCATCCCTTACTGATTTGTAATGTTCCCAGGCTCTACTTCTTTTAAACCTACGAGTTTCCCCAATGTAGGACTTATTACATATCTGGCATATTAATTGGTAGCAAATATTTTTGATCATGCAGGATTTATCGCACTGGTAGCATTTGCTGTCACTTTGTTTTTTATATTTTGTTTGCTGTAGGCTAGATCTTGTTAATGCTTCCATGAGACGTTGTCCTGATGTGAATGTTACCCTGGTGGAATCCAAGAGGTTTTGATTCCTTAGAGTATAGTAGACTTTTCGACACGTCTGTTCATTTATATAAGGTAATGATAAGTAAGCTATTTTTGAGTTCTTTTTAGGCGTATCTTGTTTATCCAGTGAATTCTGTGTTTCTTGAATAAGTTTCTTGACAATATTAGGAGGGAAACTATTCTTCTTTAGCATATCTGCTATTCTGTTGATACTGAGATCTTGTAGTTCAGGTGTGGAGCTATTATTGATAGCCCTTCTGATATCATTTTTGGCTGAGTTCAGAATCGTTCTACGAGGGTGAGCAGAGGCATAATTTAGGAATATGTCCTGGCTGGTTGGTTTAACAAATAAGGAAAAATCTAACCTCTGTGATCGTTGTTTCGCGATTTTTTCCGATTGTATTTGGGGTATGTGGTTTTATGTGATGAGTACGTGGTTGATTCGCGTTGTCACTTGTTAATTGTATGGGTTTCAAGATGGTATTTGTTGTTGTAATATTTCGTAATATTAATAGATTATTTTAACATTGTAACTTTGCAGCTATGTAAGTTATCAATACGTCCTGTCTATGACAAAGGCATGTAGCCGAAACGTCGACAAAGAATTATGTTTTAACACACTGAGTGGAGACTCTCACTTCGTCAACTACAATTCAAATTATTTGCAAATCGTTTGACTATGAGTATGCAATATTAATGATGGGTCATGTTAGTTATTTACCTGTGGGAAAGAGCGGTTATGCTGCGGTTCTAAGTTAGTGTCTGTGAAGGCTATTATATTCTTTTCTTTGTTGTATAGACGGTTTTAAGTTAAACCCATGCACCTCCCGTATGAGCCACCCACACCACACCGCGTGGAGGTTCGGCGAGGTTTTCGGGGGGCCAAATAGTGGTAGTTCTGGATTACTCCTTTACAAAGGAGGCACAGTTTGCGATGTCAACTTTGACCAAAATATTTTTGCATTGCTCGGGGTATAACACAAATAGTAAAACAGCATGGACCTTAAGATACAAATGTAAGATCCAGTTTAACTATACTTGTAATTTTAAATGAAAGATGTAAAATATGAGGCCAATACTTGGTTGAGCTGCACGTACGAAAAGGATAGTTTTAATTGTATACTATTACTCTAATCTAACTGCGTATAATGCGATTACATTATTAATTGCATTTGCAGGAGGTGCAGCTGAGTTTGATTATTGCGGATATTTCACGAGGCGCAGCCATGTGCAATAACTGGTAAACTGGTGTAATCGTATTTTATACATTCACGATTTTTGGTCCGTTTTTCCTCCTCCAAGTTAAATGAAACTTGTGACCGGACAGGGAGTGCGATTACGAAACTAATCGCACTGTTTTGAGAGCAACCAAAAACATAGTCGATGCGATTAAAAAACTAATCGCATTGATTATCTGAAAGGTACTATAATATCGTGTTCCGCAATAAGGAGCCACACGCTATATAAGTATATATATCTAAATAACGTGGGCGGGGTGACAATTATTCCACTTTCAGTTTCAGATAACTGTCATCCCGGCTGCCCTCATAACCGTTATCCGTCGAAATGTTAGGTTCGTGTGACAAATCATCTTGACAGCTGTGCAGATCACGTACCAACGTATTCACTGCTCTGCTCTGAGACCTTATGAGGTTTAGTGTGACCAGCTGCTGTTTTTATTTTGTTACGAGCCCGATATGGAAGTTGATTGTTTGTTGCCAAGTTGTGGTAGTGGTATATAATTTACAGATTTGACAGTTGCGTGGACATATCGTCCAAAGAAGCAACATGCAAATCAACCTGATATTGATAATGGACGACTGAGCGTTTCACATCAATAGATGAGAGCTATACACATACTATATTACTAATTGAGTAATAAGCCCCCTCCCGGGTTGCAACATTGCCATATTACGCAAATAATTGCCGCGCTAACGAAATATTTGCCATCTTAGCAAAATATGCGCCGTGTTATGATGTATTTGCCAGGCTGCGCGTGATGATGCAAATATTTCATAAGGAGGCGAATTTTACGTTAGGAAAATGCGCATTCTTAGCAAAATATTTGCCAAACGGTCTGACGCGCGCTGCACGCTCCTTTTTAGTTTGTTTACACGAGAATGAAATCTTCGCATTCTTAGCAAAATATTCGCCTCCTTATAATTTATTTGCGCGAGAGTTAAATCTACGCTTTCTTAGCAAAATATTCGCCACCTTATAATTTATTTGCGCGAGAGTTAAATCTACGCTTTCTTAGCAAAATATTCGCCACCTTATAATTTATTTGCGGGAGAGTTAAATCTACGCTTTCTTAGAAAAATCTTTGCCACCTTATATTTTACATAACTTCATTTGTGATAGGAATTAGGATCATATGCTGCTTACGACTCTGCAGTGGATCACATACTGTATACGTGGATTGAACTGACCCGAATTATGATCAGTGGATCGAAATACATAACGTGACCGACGAATCGCGTCCACAAGATCACTTCGAAATAAGTAACGTGAACCGGCCTGACGAATCACTTGATGAGTTTATAATCCAAAAGAAGGATAGGATCTGACCTGAACTTGGAAATAAGATAGGATATTGTGTCGCACTGAATATAATAGAGTTCGCTACCTGGATTGTAGTGCGACACATACTGTAGTCAGTGTAGTGCGAAAGATTACTTTTATAGTGTTAGCAGTTAAAAATCTAAACTTCATCAAATATCAAACCACAGTACGAATTATTGCACTAATGCCGGTTATAATGAGGTCTAAAACACACGCTCAAAGTTAAAGTGTGTTTATATTTACCAATTAAACTTTAGTTGATGTTAACTTGTTAATTATAACTGTGTACGAGTACGACTACCTACCTAACAGTAACCGCTTCGATTTGTTTAACAAAACATCATTTTCCGAACTAGAGTGCGGTACCTATGACAGATGACTTATACTTTACTCCGCTAGAAACAACAAAATTTAAACAATTGGACAGTAGCGAATCTACCTAGCGAACTTTAGTGTTAGAACTTAGCGGTGACCGACAACTAGGAACCTCTCATTCCGGCCTCCCACAGCTAGGTCACATGACATGGCCCAATCAGTGACGTATCATTTGTGATGTGATCCATATTATTCACATGACAGTTTAGTAAGTAGTTGTGTTTGAGAAGTGTTTGAGCTCTCGGCATGTGTTCACATAACGGACGTGAGCCAGGTCCAAAAGGGGCTGGTTCTCGTATCCAAGGATGTGAGCCGAGCATGCACTGAAGCGGAAAGCTGCTGAACAGCCCAAGGCAGTAGAGCCAAGGCGTCCGGATCTGCACAGCACTCTGAAGCGAAGACCTCAGAAGAATTCCTCCTTCCTTCTACATGCACCTCCACGAGACGGGACGAGCCCTTTGTTATCTTCGGCGGGAAGACAGATCGGAATGTACGAGTCGTTGCCTTCTCTACAGCCCGGAACCTTGCTACGCTGGCATGGTAGCAACTGGATTGCAGACGGCACGTTTTACGTCGCCCCGAATATATTCACCCAGAGCTATACGATTCATGCTGTTATTGACCAGAAATTTTTGCTGTGAAATCAGTGGATACCTGAAGATTGAGAGATGGACGCCTCGAGATTGTTCTACAAGGGCCCCCGACTGTTTAAACCAACTTCAATCGGTGTATTTTCGAACGCTGATTCCGAATAACCCCTCATGACATCGATCACGTGATATGACCGTAAGTTGACCCGAACTAAAGTCAACTACCTTCAGATCACGCACTGAAGTCCACCAGGGAAATATATTGAAAAATCTATTTTGTCAAATTCGAAGAAAACTTTTTGTGAATTACCTAAGTTATGTTTGTAAACA